TGCTGCATGGACTACTGATAGTGTCAATTTTGGTATTTATCGCTCAAAAAGAATTTGAAAATCTTCTGCAAGAACTTTCTTTAATTAAGAAGAACGACATCGATGTGAAACTGAAATTGAATCAAATTATGGAGAACCACGAAAAACTGTGGACTTTTGTCGAACAATTTAACGGAAACATAAATATTTTAATGGCTATTGCTTACTTTGGAGCAACATACATAACTTGTTTCTTTTATTACATATTTCTGTTCGTAGAAATGAGCGATATGCTTAGATGTGCAATATTAGGTTTAGTTGTTGTCTGCACATTCGCGTGCATCATATTAGGCTGCTTTTTGTGCTGTTTTGCATTTACGGTACAATTACATTATGCAAAATAGTTTATGTCTTGCTCGTTTATTTTGTCGTGCATAATTGTTTTTTGTATTTTAGATGCAGAATGGATTACAAGAAATTCGGGCCTTTGCTCAATGTGATGTAGAATTGGAGCACAAACTAAAAGTAAGTGTTAGATTTAGAAATGTTATTAATAATATTTACTGGAAGTATATTGGTGTTTATTTTTCTGTTAGATTCTTGATTTCATGAAAAGATTTGGTAATTTTCCAATGAATGTATCGCTAGTTGACGTTTATCCCGTTAACAAAAAAATTCCTCTAAAGGTAATATCTTTTACTATTGAAAAATTCTGTCATAGAAACATTATAATCATCTCATAAACACTCTGATAAATTACTAATTAAATAAAAATATGAAAAAATAACAAAAACATAATTATATATTTTTATAAATAGTAATTTGTACAGTAATTTTCATATTCATAACGATGTTTTTGCATATTTCAGATGGCCAGTACCTTGTATTCTATTTTTTCTTACTTGTTGAAAATAAAGCGAATTTCGGAGGGAGGTAAAAGGAGATGCCATTAAAATTACAGCGTTGAATTTATAGGTTTAAAATACAGTTATTTTAATGTTTAATAGTGTATTAAATCCGACTGAATGATTTTATTAATAACACTCTTAGTATTGTCTTATTTTAAATTGGATATTGTTACTGGATCTTTCTTCATATTTTTTGATCGCTCGAATTCTTCATTTCAGCGCCATATTTTTCTCGTGGCTAAATTTTGTATTTGTATGTTTCTTTTATAAATCTTAATCCAATATTATGAAGAACTCATATCAATTTGTTTGAAATTACTCGAGGGGATGTTTTGCTACAGACCCGTACACTTTCACTAATTTGGTGCCATTCTTATTTTAGTTTATTTTCCTTTTCTTTCTTATCGTGGGCACTAAGATTGTACTTTTATTAAGTGTACATATGGTGTTCGGTTGGTGAGGTTGGTGAGGAGTAGGGCGCGATACATGCATGAGTCAGGCCACTGGTAAGAAATTTTTGACGTTTCTCTTGTCCGATTTCCTTTTCGGTTCTTAGAAGTGGTGATCGACTCCTGTAACTACTGTTATCAGTCAAAGTGACATTTTTAAAAAATATATTTTTATGGAATTGGCTATACACGTAATAGAAGCAACCAGATAGAGAAGAAGAGGACGTTAAACTTCTGCATTATATCCACTTAGGAAAATCTCTGTGGGTCCTACCTGGACTCAATTTGAAATCTTTAGGTAGGCTGGTTGGCAATTTTTATAACCCAATCTTTAACTTATAAGCATGAACTTTTGCAATGTCGTAAGCAGGCATAGTGTTTAGTTTAGATTATCTAAACAATAAACTTTCAATTATTATTTTAATAAGTAATACTAAAGAACTCGGAAGTAATGTTTTGGCATTGCAATTGAAAACCTTACCTAAAACTTGGTATCAGCTCATCCACAGTGAGCACATTGATGTTGTAGATGTAAATCGTGTACAAACAATATTTTCAAATAACTCTGATATATGAAATTTCTGAATCACTTTATAATGCCAATATATATACTATTTGTTTTAAATTTTTTGCAATTGTAAACACTTCTAATGCATAATCGTGATGTAATAAAATTTATCTGTATTTAAATATATAGAGAAAAATTAAATTTTCATGATGACTCGGGATATCTTCTATATTGAAGTTAAGACCATTTACAAAATATACATTTTTGAGCCTTTTCTTTATCCATTAAATAAACACAACCACAGAAGTAATAGTTACATTAGTTTGAAGAAAAACTTCATTAAAAAGACAAATAATACTGGATAAAACTAGTAAGTAGGAAATAGAAACTACCTCTAGAGGCGAAAACCGGTTATAAATAGACTAAGAACTTGATGGTATGGTGAGAAAATGTACCCTTGTTTTTAATGTAAAAACGTCAGACCCTCCAATAAAAGACTAACGTTTGATATCGTTTTTTAACTTTGTGAAATTTTAGCTATTATTATTTGTCTTTTTAATGAAGTTTTTCTTTAAGCCAATGTAACTGTTAATTTTGTGATTGTGTTAACGTATAAAGAAAAGACTCGAAAATGTATATTTTTGTAAGTGGTCTTGACTTCAAAATTAGATTATTTTATTCTGTAGGAATTCTGTTATAAATAAAAATTTTAACAACAAGAGTGGTCCTTTATGAAACGTGTAAAATAAATTTAATACAATCTTTAATATTTCGATTTAGAAGTAGACTATTAAAAATTAAATAACCAATTAATTCATTTTTATGTAAACCATTTAGTTCTTTAACTCTTACAGTTCGATATTTATGTCAATATTTTTGTTACATGAGAATATTGATATTTAATTTTTTTTTCCTACATTAAAATGGTATCCTATCACATTATATACCAGATTTAAGATTATTATTAGGAGATACTAAGGGGTCAAAATACCAATATTACAAATATTATAAATCACTATTTAATTACGAAACTTTTTAAAAATAAAAACAAAGAATTTAGTTAAAGCTTATTTTCGAGTTAATTTTTATATTTGTTGATATCGTTAACTTTATTGGTATACTCATATTTGTGCATCACCACTGGACTGGCCACGCGTATTTCGATATTCTTTACGTGTTTCAAATCGAAAAAAGACTAGTTTTTCTTGAGATGTCCTGTCAGGAAGCAGTTGTTTGCCTAATCATTAAGATATTGCGTTGCATTATTCTTCAATGCAGATACATTCATTAAAAGGTAAAGACTTTTTACAAATTTCAGGCCTTTTTATCAAAATCAGCATATGTCAAAATACATACTGTTGAGAAAGCTGAATAAAAAACATTTTTATTAAATCGCATCGCACATTGATATCTTTTGGTATTATTTGCCAAAACAGTGAGCTATTCAGAAAGTATTATTGTATTGCCAGAACATTGGCTGTGACAAGACCCGAGAAAAATTAAGTTTTTGGTAACTGTCACATGCTGATTTTATCAGAAAGTAAATTCTTACAGTTTTTTTTTTTTTTGCATGAAAAATTTGCATATGTCATTTGTGAGTCCTCTCAGCCACTTTTGTTGTATTCTTATTCAATGTCCACATATTGTTTGTTACTTGCAACACTTGACTGACTTTTGTAGAACTTCTTATTATCCGTCTTCCGTAGGAGAGTTGACAGCTTCAGGCAGTCAGTCCAGAAGTTTCTTGTTACGCATAGACATTGGTTCTTTGTACGATTATGACAGTTTAAACACATTGATCCACTTCCTGATGCATTTAATTAGAATATTTTTGTACGATCCAGAACATGTATCACAAATTTGAAAAGCTTCTTGATCTTCACTGGCTTTTATAATTCTTGCTGATTTGAGATTCAAGTTTTACTTATATCAATGATGATTACCTGCAATCATGAGCTTCGATATGGTTTTCTGTTTCTTCCCTTATTTGGTTTGTGTGGCTAATTATACGCACCTCGCGTTCTCAAATAACGTCTTAGTTCTCGTTCTTTTCTAGCTGCAAACACTCACCAATATCGAACATCTTCAAATGATGTTAAGGTTACTGCTATCCAGAATACCTATGAATGTAGATGACCACCTTGTAAGTCAATCTTGTACATAGCAAATGACCCTGAGAATTATTGTTTTTTTGTGAATAAATCTTCATATTATTTGCTGACGTGTTGTTTTTGTAACACCCGAAAATCTTTCATTTAGAATATTTCTGATTGCATTTGTTGTTCATATATGATATTTCATGGGCAAGCCACCCACCGTTAAGCCACCCACGGTTGCCAAGATGCAATGAAAACACCATTTTCTTCTAAATTTGTCACATCTTGTTTCTACAAAAAAATCCTCATTTCGTCTTATTATTTTCTTTTAACTGCTTATTATCACAAAATTGTTACTGTTAATAATGTAATGACTACAGGCAAACAGAAATAATATAGATAATAAGCCATGTAATGATATTTTAAATTCTTTTAGTCCACTCGACATAAAGAAAACTTTTAGAATTATACTTATCTTAGGTTTGATTACGCATCCACAAAGGAGGCGTCGAGTGTGGACATTACAGACTTTGTGAAAACTTTGCAGGGTTCCATATCCTGTATGAGCAGCGGATGACGCGATTGCAGCTTCCACCATTTGTCCAACAAATGACATTGTATACGTTATCATTCATTTCAGAAGGCAACTCGCCGCCTAGTTTGTATTTTTCTTTGTTTATTTTGTCAATAAATGCCGAGACTGGACGCCCTCAAAACTTCCTCCTTTATCCGCCTATCCTATGTCTCTTATAAATTTCACCTTCACCTCTTCCTCTAAACGAGGTTCCACTGTATAATAAAAATTACTGTTTAAATAAAAGATGTGGCTCTTGCATATTTCTCAAACACTATGTGGTCCTATGCTGACAAGTTGTGACCATCTCTGCCATAATTTGTGATTTCTTATTCGGATATACATGAAACTAAAAACTACTCAAAGAAATATAATATCCATGAAACTATACCGGCTATTAAAATTTCTATACCAGGAAGAAAAGAGAACATTAGAATCATGTTTATTGTACACATACAGTATAATGTTGAGGAAGACATGATTCAATTTACAAGTTGCACATATTATGAAAATTTCGCGTTTGTTGCGGGCCGCCTTCGTGATATAACAATGTTTATGGCCAGCATTATATATAAACATTTCCAAACAATAACATATACTTAAACAAATTACCCATTGTATTTTTTTCATTTTTTTGAAACTCAGCCTGAAGACACTGAAGAAGTTTTCTTCAAAGTGCACAGAAGTTTAAGACAGACTCACCAAAAAGGATGAATGTTACCAAGAGTGATAGAAAAGTTAACAATACGACTGTTTTATAACGTAGATATAAATAAAAATATTTCATTAATGCATGTACATTTTATTGGTATATTCTCTGAGAAATTCTTTCCAAAATTCGCATTTTTCATCCACTTCTGCATTTGTAGAATGAACGTTACCAAGAGTGAGAGAAAGCGTGTTACGTTGTTTCTTATCGAACGATTTCCATTCAAACTCCATTCCTTCGTACATCGGTTTCCTGGTGAATAAAATATTCAATTTATTATATATTTTTCAACTTGGACATTAATCATTAACAGGACAATTATACTGGTGTTAAGCACTTATAGAGGAATGTAATGCTTAACACCAGTATAATTGTCCTGTTAATGATTAATGTCCAAGTTGACAAATATATAATAAATTGAATAAAAACAGTAAGGCAATAAGAATTAAAATATTCTATTTGTTGAAAATATTGTATTAAATTTTCGGTTGAAGAAATGTTAAATCTTATTTAATAATATGTCTGAATAATGTAGTATTATGAAAATATTTCTTTTAATAGGAAACATCTAAACAGACATTTCTTATTTTAAAGTGTTATAAAATGTCGATGATAAAATAACTTCTTGATATCTTACATTAAATAAATTTATAGAAACATTGAGAAACGAAAGACTGAGATAAATAACTATTTTCTCGAGTCATAAGTAGTTAAAAAGAACGTAATAAAAAGAAAAGATGTTATCGATAATAAATACATATTATGTAACTTATATTATAGATTAAAGTACTATTTTATTAAAATGTTGCAGAAAAATATTCTATGAACTTTTTCATATTAGTAACATACATGATACAACTAAAGCTCACCCAGTTTTAGCGAACGACGTCCAAAGTTGTATAATTCTCCTGCTAAACAATACTTCTTCTTCGGTGTAATCTTTCTGTTTTAATAATGGTCTTCCAAATACGAAATGCAAGTCTTCGTTATGTAGAACTCCCATCCATTTTTTAAACAGAGATTTGATTCGAGTATGATTGAACTTATAAACGTAGACTGTGTGATCATACTGAGAAAGTCTTTCCACTAAATGTGATATGGGGCATAAAAATGCTCCGTCGCTTATACCCTTGATTATTTGCTTTAGAATTTCTAAGTAGTCATTTTCTGCCACATTACCTAAATACTTTTTTACAATACGATCAAGATATTTTCCAGTTACTTTGTAAGCCCTACTCATAATATCTTTCGCCTCTGCTTTTGATAAAATTGGCTTGTTTTCTATGGCTAAATATGGATTCAGTGCAATAACAAACGGGGTACCTTCATCCTTTACACCACCCATTAAAACCTCGACATCATGAAATTTGCCGGTGTCAATATCGTAAAATGGATCGTCAGATAGAAATGGAGGACCGACTTGTGGATGATAATATAGTATTGTTCGTTGTCGTTTAATCAATCGCTTTTCAGCTGCAACAATTTCATATGCATTCTTTTTTCTCATACATGTTAATATATCAGACACGTTGCAGCCGACTTCCTGTGAAAGCCTAACTGTATTTTCGATATTAAATGAAGTATTCACTGCATAATATTCAAGATAATTGCTACCACTTTGCAAAATTACTCTGTTGAATAAGCCTTTAGTAAGCGGCGATATCATGTGATGTGCGATAGAGATCGCTCCCGAACTCTGGCCGAAAACAGTTATCAAATTCTTTTCACCTCCAAAAGTTTCGATATTTCGATGCACCCATTTGAGAGCCATTACTTGATCTAACATGCCCATATTTCCTCGTTCATCTTCATCATTAAATCTTGCGAAACTTAATGCAGCTAGACGATAATTGAATGTAACGACAATGACGTTTCCAACTGCCGCAATTACAGCGCCGTCAAACAGATTCATATTGGCAGATCCCACGTTAAATGCTCCTCCATGTATCCAAACCATGGTAGCAAATGGTTTTTCATTTGGCTTTGAGCTTGGTACCCAAATATTAAGATAGAGGCAATCTTCGCTGAGATCTTTAGGATTGCGATCGATCCATTCTAAATACGGGAAAGGCGAATCTTGCATGCACGAAGGTGATCGTCGTGTTGCATTATATATAATGTTTGATTTAATTGTAAAAGGTTGAGGTTGTCGAAATCTCAATTGATTAACTGGAGGCATGGCATAAGGAATCCCATAAAAAGCGTATAAAGTTTTGTTTAACACTTTTATTGTTTTTCCTGCAAAGTTTCCACATACAGGGTTATTATTACTTTCTTCGAACAGTTGGAGTATAATGAATAGTCCAAATGTGGATTTTATTATTGTGTAAATGTTCATTTGTACGTCTGAAATATAGTTAAATATGATAGATATAATTAAAGAATAGTTTTCGTAATTGAAAATTTTAAAAATTAGCGAGGTTGAGGCCGAAGTTTTAAACGCGAAAACGTGTACGTCGGACGTTTAGCGGAGCTTTCCTGTAAGACTAGAAGTTTGACAATGGTGTTTGGATAGTCAGTAGAATCATGCTCGACATTCCAAACACCATTGTCAAACTTCTAAGCTTACAGGAAAGCGGAGCTGAACGTCCGCCATACACGTTTTCGTTTTTAAAACTTCGGCCGCAAACTCTCTATTAATTAGCGTGATAAATATATTTAGTTTTATGAGTTTATTTACAAAAAGGGGAGATACAATATCACTTTTTCGATAGAAAAGGAATTCAACTTCCTTTCCCACAAAACCTTATCTACAAATTTGACATTCATCTGGAAATCCACTCCCTTTCCTCGTCCCGATACATCCAGTTAGTAACCGCGGATTCTTTTACGCTATTGTATAGAAAGGACGATAAAAAGGGGATTTTCACGCAATTCGAGGGGAGTCATCAAAAGAATATATTGCCATCGGAGACGCAGTCGACATTAGTCCGAATATGCCACATAGAAGACGGCAGTCAACAGAAATATAGGAAGCCAGTCAACGATCCCCAAGGACCTCCCATAAGAATAGAGTTCTCTCGCAGATTTTCACTTGTGCATTTCCTCATCCTCCTCCATCTAAGATCTTCACCAAAGAACTTCATTGTATAGAAGAAGACTACCTTCTAGAGCAGACATGGCCAAATACGCCTCTTTTTGAGTTACATGCGGTTCTTGCTGAAAGTGTTAATTTCTGCTTTTTATTATTATTTTTACAATTTTATTTCCACAATTTTGTGAAAATATGTTTATTAAAAAATTAAAATTTGTTTTATATCATATTTATATTATATAACAACATCGCGGTTCAGAACTGCTGCTCCCATGCACTTTGCAAAACTTACATTTCGGCTCTCACTGAACTCTTGCTTGCCCACCCTTGTTCTAGACCGTCAGTCAAGGTAGTAAGTTTAAATTGACGTAAGCTCTCTCTCTCGGTTTAGCAATATATTCAAGATTTAGAAGTGTAACTCTAGTTAGACTCGATTACGTTCAGTTATATTTGTAATTTGAATATGTATCTCGTTTATTTAGTTCATTTAGTAAATCTTTGTTATTAGTTACATTTTGGGGATTCTCTTTCAATTAATTGACTCTGGACATTCACCACGCTACGTTCGAACTTACCCACGACTCTCCCCACTCATCAACGTATCAGCCCTCCTAATTAAACGATATTATAAACGCGTGATAGAACGGTAAATCTTTTCCAATTAGGTGTCAGTCCTGACGATCGAACGAGTAGAAAGATTTGGACGACATATTTATTTTTTTGGCCATCCTTAGACGAGAGTGAGTGGGCCTCAACGTCACGTACAGTACAATACCTTCGACCATGATCTGACATTAGATTCATCAAATATCAAAACACCTAATTTATAAATTAGATTTAAAACTTATAAACTTAGCGAAAATTTTTTGTCACGGGAATTTTCGTAATTTATAATTATAAAAAATTGTCTCGACTTCCAGAAACAAAAAGAAATCTTTAAAATTTTACTTTATAATCTTTATCTATAGTTATTGCTTACCTGCATATGACGTTATACACAAAGAACAATTTTAGCTAAGTCTTCTATTCTATTGTAACTATAATTTACTTTATACTGAAGGAAAGGAAGTACTGGTAGAATAACTCGATCGACTCAACCAATAGCTGTGCAGCTATCTCAGACATTAATTTGTATAATAATAAACTATAATAATGAAGAATATGTAAAATTTTATTCTGTAATTTACTTTTAAGTGACAATATTTAACTGCTATAATTCATAATCGTCCGTTATTCAATAATTTAAAATAAAATATTTTTTGGTTAATGCAATTTAACGTAAGCTCTTTAAGGAGTGTCGGATTAAGGCGCTATCTTTCAGCTCTGATAGATCCAAGTTTAAATGCGAACATGCAATGTACAAAGATTTCGTATGTAATGTTACGTCAAGTCAGTCTGATAATTCCTATACTAACGAGAAGAATAATTGTAATACCCTCATAAATAATTGGCCACTGTTTTTCGGGGTTAATTTGTGTTTTTCATTTAAATAGAAATTCGTTTTAATGTTTTGAATGGAAGTCAGAGAATGTGTCATGGTGCTATTTGTGCAGATCTTCGAAATGTCGCGCTGTGTTATTCCATCAATTCGATCCAATCGTCCTCCATCCTTCTGCTCGGATTGTGAACCTGGACGAACAACTAATAACATATGAAAAATATAGTTTTTTAGAGCCCAGAAAGACGAAAGGATAAAAAGTTTTAAAAAATTATACACGAAAATAAATTTTGTAATTTATTTGTCTTAATTGAAGAAAACAGCAAAATTTTAATTTACTGCAAATAAATTATTTATGTACAAATATTTATTAACTTTCATTGTATTGACTGTAATAACAACCGCATTATCAGTCCAGTATAGAAGGAAAATTATATGAAGTAAATTATCTATTGATAACGATAATTTATATAAAATTGCCCCATTCAATTTTTGAACAAAGCCACAATTGACTACACATCTCTCTTAATATTTGAATATATTTCGAATTAAAATCCAACTTTACACCAACATTTTTTACTTCTATTCTTTAAATTAATAAAATATTAATTCAATTAGCCTTATCTAAATATTAAAATCGATTATACATTTATTATTACTTAAACCATTTTAAATTATAATTATTACTCTTGTAAAATTTTATGGCACTTAGTTACAGCTATGAACTTACTTGAATCGAACTTAATATCTCGTAATTAAATTTATAGAATGTTAAAGAATGTAATGCCACTTGTAATCACAATGAGGAAACACCAGAAAAATATAAAAATTAAATGAAATTCTTTTGGTATGTATTATTTCCTCTTGGCATGAACACAAGATATTTGCAGTAATTGTAAGTTTCCCTATTACATGAGGGTTAGGTACAAAAAAATTCTAATACACTAATCTAAACCATTTTTATACATTGAAAGAATTGAATACGGCAGAAAAATAAATAAGTATGCATAAAGATGAGAAAATCCGCCAAGTGTCTTAATTTATAGCACTATATTGTGTCAGAAGCATAAACAAATAGCAAAGCACGGTTTCATATCATCAAAATAAAGATGAGAAAATCCGCCAAGTGTCTTAATTTATAGCACTATATTGTGTCAGAAGCATAAATAAGTATGCATTTAAATTTAATATCGAAACGTTATATTATAAGGACTTGCACTTCTAGAACAGTTCTTGCACTCTCTGGACGGTACATGCCTGGTTGAAGAACTGTAATTGCTCGAGATACTAATACTCTTTTGCTTTCAACACTAGTTCCTAACCTTTGCTCAAGATAAAACAGCGTTTGCTTATAGATTATATTTTTTTTTCACTATATAAAGGATTATATTCAATTTAAAATGTTTTTCTATAAAATTTTCCTTGTATACTAAAGTAATTGTTTCTGTCGAAATCGTTATTTTATAATATTAAAAAATATTTGAAATTGGATAATTTTTATACGATTGAAAATGTATTTTAAACTTTTTGCATAATATTTTTTATTTTTATATACACACTTGAAATAATATTGTAAATAAAGATAAATAGAATTCTGTTAAAATTTTTAAGCAAATAATCAAATTAAAATAATTGTTTTCTTTCTATTCAATTTATATACAAAAATGACGAAATAACTTTTATAATGGCAAACACTAAAGTAAATGAGCGATTGTTTATTGTGATATCGTCACAATACCGGATTGCAAGTTTTAATTAATTTAAAATATATTCTTTAAAATAATAATTTAACTCATATTAGCAATGGATTGCCCCTGTACATCATGGTTTGTCTTTAACGATAGAGTCATGCCGATCGTCTATTAACTGCTTTTAGGGGATAAGGTTTGATATAAAATTATATGACTTCCGGTTCGCATCGAACGTTCGTCTAAGCTTTCTGTTTCTTAGGTTTCCATATCTCTTCTCAATTGTCATCTAACTCCGTTCTCCAGATTAAAAACAATTTTTTTTCGTAAGAACAATAGTACTTTCATATAGGCATTGTTTTATTGTTTGTATTAAAGAAAGATATGTAGACATGACGTAAAAATTATATTTTTTTTTTTTCTAAATTTTTCCTTCAGAAATTCCTGGTTATTTTGAGTGTATCCTCAAATGAAAACGATGCGCATGAAGCAAAATAAAAAATTTCGTTAACGAAGGTTTTTTGACAATTAGTAATAATAAAAAGAATTTATAACTTCATATTCATTATTTTTGGTTGTAAAAACGTATATTTTCACGTCACGTATATCATTCCGTTCGTATAATTAATTTAATTTTTAAAAATTACCGTAAGTCGTAATAATTCATTATTACGCCGGTTATTCATTATTCATTAACGTTAATAATTAATTTATTTATAATATTGTACCATTTTTATTATGCCTTATGAACAAATCAATTACTTCGGGAGGGAACATTTTAAGCTTATTTTTGAGCAGATTTAACATTAAATAGCATTTGCATCCGATGATATTGCAAGTATATTTTAAATATTCTTGTAGGTATTTATTTATCCAGGAGATTTTTTGAAGACCTCTTCCGTTACTTTAACATTTTTATATTTCGTGCTTTCTAAAGCTCTTGTGAAGTTCTCCAATTTCATGGAGAGCATATATCCTATTTATTTCTATATTTAAATAAAAGTGAGAAATTGTGAAGTAACTGAAACTAAATCATAAACACATCCTTCATCATCACGCATTAATAAAACAATTGTATATTCCAGTATAACTTACAGATTTAATAAATGATTTATAACTTTTTGGACATTAAATATGCTAAAATCAGAATGTAAGATTGCTTTAAAGTTTGTTTCCTGTTCATCGT